GTTGGGGGGATATCATTGAAGAGAGAGAAATGCGTACTGCTAGCATTACGAGCAGAACTGGCAGCTGCATATAGTTCCTCATGATCATCATCAGATTCACCTGAACATGGCATCCCAAACACATTGTCGTTAAGAATACACTCCAGGAACTTTCAGGGATTTTTCAGCGACATTTCAGCAAGTTTAGTAGTTCACAAAAAATGTAGAGGCATATGCATACAGATAGGAGTGATTCTGAAATTCATTCCAATTTAGAAATTAAACAAACAAAAATAAAGCTCCATTAAAAGAAATATTAAATCCATACACGCACACACATATAAATTGTTGATAGCTAAACTAACACCAAGAGCAAAATATTTTTCCAAATGATAATGTCTGACCATAGAGATGACGTATTAGAGTCATACCATTGATGCACAGCTTTAAGATTGAAAACACCCATGCAAAATGATTAGAACATCAGAGACTTCATAGAGCAATCATACTGACACAATCGAATTGATACTCTTCTAATTCTTACATAATATGCAGCCAAAAGACTCATGAGCCTAGTAAATACCTGTAAAATCTGAAGAAACATTATTTTGCATCGACCCAACACGTGCTGAAGCCTTGCGATCTTTCAGCTTTTTGGAAGGTGGACGACCTGTTTTACTGAACCCAAGAAATATGATTCATTTGTCAGATTTCATCAAGTCAAATAAACAACTTATTAATAAGAACCAACAAAAAATATTAAGAACCTTCTATTTTTATCAGAAGCAGATCTCGAAGTTTGAATTGGCTTGGTCGTAGTAAGATTCTCCAACTTCTCCCTCATTGGATGAACAATTGGTTTTGTCAAGAGTGGTGCACTGCCTCCACTCCTTCCCTGTCTTCGGACTCCATCTCCAATTTCATTAGTAGACATTTGTTTCTTCCTTGTGGGCAATAAGAAAGCCCCAGCATTTTGAGATGCAGGCAGAGTAACCTCACTACAATCAATTCCTTTCTCTTTTGATTTGCTATCTGCAGCTCCTGATTCTTCACTCTCAGATAACCCAAATGGAGAAGAAACATTCTCAGGTTCCCTCTTAATTTTTAGAGTAGCATTATCTATACTGCTGCCAAGCAGTGACCCACCAGTTCCAACAGATGCCCTAGCACCAAAATCAGATGTTGCAAAGCCTTGAGTTGAAATCTGAGCTTCAGCATTAGAGACAGGGGACACTAAATTTGCTCTCCTCGTACGTGAGTTTTTATGTGGTCTCTGACCACCCCACTGGGCCATAGCATGCGAAGAGGAACCTGTAGACATTGGACGTTTTTGATTGCTCCCAACACCTAATGCTTGTATCTTATTTAGATTTGGCTGTTCCCAACCCTGCAAAGCTCCAGATGAGAGGTGAACTTTTGAAGATGAGTCCAACACCATGATGGAACCACTTCGTGGTGCCCTAGAAACCTTTCCTTTTAGCATTGTAGTCGGCCCACTTGCTTGGTTGTCATCCTGGAGACTTGCCCTAACAAACAGAGCCATTACAAAAATCAATAACCACGGAGAAGAAAACATTAAATGAATATCATACACGGTAATTAAATGTAAAATTTGATAGATGTTAACTATGTAAGTTTTCCGCCCACATTTTTTCTCTACAGACTGCTAGAAATAAAATGAAGGCATATACTTATTATTTGCTTTCATTAAAACCCTCTGCTCCAACATAGCTGCACGATCCCGAGGAATAGAGTTACTCTCCAATTCGTTCCTAAGCACTGTACTGGCATCTGAACCAGCAGCCTCAAAAGAACCATCTGACCTGTTGATTCCACTAACTCCAGGGGAAGATTTTGATCTGTATGCACAAAAGGCCCCACTAACATAAGAGTAAGAGAACATTAATACAGAACAGATTTGACAAACAGCTGAAAATTTGTGGATCAGCATAACTCATAAACTTAAAGCCTAAACTTGAAGCAAATAATCAATCCAGTGACAAGACCTTAAGACAGAGGTAGAGGAAATCTTTCTTCACTTTCATCAGAAAATGATGATATCTTATCAAGCATTCAAGAAAGTTATACCAGCAAAGAAGCAGTTATATTTATATTACAATTAAAAGCAGGTAAAATGGAAACAACAAAGCAGGATTAAAAATACAAAACAATGCAAGCACTAAGGTCTGTCAATCCAAAATACGATGCGAGTTCTTAAGCCTAGACATTTGTATGCTTAACTATTACTATACTACATGTCACAGAAATTTTATTAGTAGTCAAATTTAAGAACCTGCATAGATTTTCTATATACAGAACAAAAATTACAAACTTCCATACATTATGAATAATGACTGCGGTCATCAAATCTATCAGCAATAAATAGTAGAACAGAATGTTTCTTCCTCAATTACTACTACACTGCCAGTTTGATTGATAACAATGATGAAATGTCCACAGACAATCAAAAAAGGGTTTTTGTTTGCCATGGCCAGCCTCATCAGCAATATATCCAGGATCACATAAAACTTCTAGCCCAAGACTAAACCAAATTTTTCATACACAGTTCCAGTCGAAAACTACTATACTCAATGCAGCCATACTAGAAAGTATTCTTTTCTTTTTAATCAGAACCAGGAAGCAAGTTCAATCCTTAGACAATCACCTAAAACCCTGTGTATCACATGATCGCAACTTTGATTCAGAACTCAGCTTCTGTTGCATAGCTCGTTTTACATCCCGGTCACCAGCAGTAACTCTATTTCCTACAGCTGCAACAGACCGTTTCCTTTTCATCTTTGTTTCCCATCCTTCACCTGGCAATCTGCGGATCTTTTCCTCAATTCGAGCAGAACCCCCATTAACAGCTGAAAGCACATCACCATCCTTTTCTATTATTCCCTGCTGCCTTGGATTCACAGCAGTCCTATTATCAGCCTGGTCTCATGAGAAAGAAAAAAGAGAAAGAGAAAACAAGAAAATAGAATTAATGAAGCATAAGATAAAAAAGAGAAAAAGGAAGGTGTGTAATCACACTAGTAGTTTTCAAGTATCTGGCCTATCTTTTATTCTTCTTTATTTTTTTTTCCATAAAATGGCATATTCAATTATGCCTAACAAACAACTTTGTTCACCGCTGAGCAAAGATCAACTGATTTATCTTTAAACATTGCATGGAATTTCACAAAAACCATCTTCAGCAATGCATGTGAAGACTAAGTAGATTGAAACATTAAAAAATTCCAGCAATAATAGTGAAATACAAACCCGTAAATCAGCAACTGATGTGCGAACACGTTTGTTTAGCCCCACCCCTTTTGGCCTATCCTCCAGCCTATGGGTCATTATGTCGTGAGGGTTTCTATGAATCTGGCTCCCAATCTTTGCAATGTTTACTCCACTTGTTCTCTCACTTGAAATATCACTTCGTTGTTGTTTCTTTGAGCTTAAGGCTTCTTTATACCTTTCCAGTTTAGAAATTGACTCATGCAACTTTTTTACTCTATCCCTGTTAGAAGCACTATGCAGATTCAATAACCAAACACTGTTCATGCGACTTATGACTAACAGGCATCAAAATCAAGATAAAATATGCACAATGAACATGTGCAGACAGGTAAAAAAAAAAGAAAAGAAAAGAACAACTGTGAGAAAAAGCCTCTGAATTGCAGGCAAGCCATATAACCTCTATCTATGACAATCGGCATCAAAATCAAGACAAAATATGCACAATGTACATGAGCAGACAGGAGGAAAAAAAGAAAAGAACAACTGTGAGAAAAAGCCTCTGAATTGCAGGCAAGCTATATAAACTCTATCTATGACAATTGGCTACATTACTCAAGTGGCAAGCCCATGCGCAAAGACAGGATATCTACATTGCATGCAGAGAGAATACATTGCATACACACCTTGATACATAAGCAATGCATGCATTGTAACTAATCATGTACCATGTTGACAGTTATTTCCCCATTATGTTTCCAGTGAAAGCACCTATCATCACCGGCTTAACTTTAAAGGTTCCCTTGTCACCAAACAATTACAATGAAAAGTCACTAAACTAACTCATAAACTATACCATGTTCCATTAAATATAAACCTTTCCACAAATTTAGCATTATCTGCAGGGAATGGTTGCAACAAAGAAGAAAGACATACCTGGCCTTCCTAGAGGCATCTCGAACACTTTCTTTGAAGTTCTTAAGCTCCTCCGTTGCCACTGGAGGGGAAGGTTTAGGATGTGCAACTCCAAAAGTGTGATCCTCCGATGTACTACTTCGAAAAGGAACACCCAGAACCCGGCTTAATTCTCCAGACCGTGTATATTTCTGATTGCCTAATGTAATCGGCTCCAAAGGCAAACACTGAGGCAATGGTGGCATATCTGACGAAGATCCTGCATTCCCTCGGCTTAAATTATTCCCACTTAACATTTTTTCTCTCTCCGTCAATTTCCTCACTTAGAACTGCCAAATCTGTACACATAAACCCAAGACCATTAACCCCAAAAGTCAAGTAACTCACTTGTCTTCCTACTAATAAACTGACACCTTACATATTGTTCAGTTCTTGCCTTTTGCATTAGGATTTGAAAGCTTAAACACTAAAAGCATAATTTTTTGGAAAAGTAATTGCACAATTTTACTTTTATTGAGAACAACTATGTTAAAAGGAGTGTACCATTTTAGACCTTTATTTTTAAACCAATTATAACTTTGCATTTTACCATTTGCTTTTGCTTTTAGCAACTATTTTAAAAAACAAAAGTAAAAACCACAGCGAGTCTTAGCAAATTGTATCAACTATTCTCCGGACATATATCTGAACTTAACTAGACATATTTACAAACCTGCATTTTCTCTCATGCAATGTTAAACCTTAACTACTTTCTTCTTCTTCTTCTTCTTTTCCTTTTTGCTAGTTTTTCGAAGACTAAAGCAATAAACTTTGTTGATTTTAAGTCACAAATCAAAATCCCCAATTAAATTCAATTAAATCCACGGAAAAGAAAACAATGATCATCAAAAACCCACTAAAAAACCCCCCCAAGGATTCATGAAAAATAATATCCATTTAAAATCATAAATAGGAAACCGAAAAAAAAAAATGCAGCGGAAAGCTCAATAATTACCTCTGAACCACCAATTAAAAATAAGAGAGAAATTCAACAAGAAATTGACAAACGTTTATCTTCGTTCATTATCTCCTCAACCAGGCAAAGAAAGATTTTTAAAAAGAAAAATTTTAAAAATTTAAGAAGATAGATAAATAGTAAAAACCCTAACACGAGAAAGAGAGAAATCAGAGAAAGAGAGGTTGAAATTGAAGTGAAATTAAGGCAATGGAAAATCAGCTTAGAGAGTTTAAAGATTCAATTACCTGAGAATCAACCAAGGAAAGAGCAGATCAAAATCAGCAAATTTCTTTCTTGGACAGATCACAAAAAATTAAACGAAAAGCGGGAGCGATTATAATGTAATGCGTATATAAATAAAATAAAATAAAACAAAATTCCTTTAGCCGTAGACTTAATACGTCGTCACTTTTGTTTTCTTTTTTTAATTTTTTAATGTTGTCTTACCGCGTGTACGTGTTGACGTTATGCTTATGCAGGTATATTTTGAGTAATTACATTTTTTTCTCTTAAAAACTGCTATTTGAGTTTAATTACTTCTGTAAACTAATTTTTATTTAATTAAATATTTAAAAAAGTTCCTGAATTATATTCAACAACTTAATTAAGTCCATATCTTTTTATTGTATTTAAATAAACTCCTGAACAAATCAAATAAACCCCCTCTACTAATTGTAGATTAACTTTCGTTCCTCAATGGTAAATTTGACAATTTTATAAAATATTATTTACCTTTTGACATGTTAATGTGTCATTTTATTTTATCCATGCAAACTTATATTAATTTCTATATTAGAGAAAAACGACAATCCTTTTTTAAGTGAAACTGTTTTTTTTTACTTCTTTTAAATTTGTTACACTTCTCTTCATCCTATCTCAATAAATAATCTATCAAAACTCTTTTTCCAAAACTCTTAATTATCTCCTGTCTCAATAAATAATGGCTAGGGATTTAGAGCAAGCATATCAACCTTTAAAAAAAGCTCTTCTCTTTCTGATTAATCTGTCCTCTTATTATAATGTTGCTTCACAGTTGAAAACTAGTCCATGTAATGGTGAGAATAAAAATTTGAAGCCTCATATTGATGATCAGTATATCCCATATATTGAAAAGAGACATTCTTTTGAAATCAAAATTGAACCTCTTGACCTTGAACAAAGCATTCTTTGTAATTCCCAATACAAGATTATAAAGATAAAATTTAATTTCATTTTTGAAATTCATTATGCTAAGAAATAGATACAAATTAAAAATAAGTCTTTTAAACGTGAAGCTGATATTCATCTTGAAAGTGTTACGATCGTGAGAAAGATTTGCAACAAAAAGTCTTTTCAAACATTTCCCTCTTGGGTTTTTTGTTAAACTCAATTGCCTTTTTTTAATTTAACAAAGAACTCTTTTTTTCAAATTAATTGAATTATTCTTATATTTCCATATCAATTTTTAAAAAATGATTATTGTAATTTCAAGACATGAACTTTAAAAAGTTTTTAAATTATTAAAAAAATTTAAATAAATTAGTATTTTTCAATTTTGTTAGATCAAATTTTTGTACTTCTCTTTTGATTGATTAATTATTATTAATCAAAATATCACTATATTATATTTACGTCCAAGTCCTACTGATCTGAAAAGAAAAAATTTTCATTATCTATTATTCATTATAGCATGTTATTAAGTTACACGAAAACCATGTAATATTAAATGACACATTTTGATTAATAACAACTAATCATAAAAGTTTATTTTACTTAAAATAAAAATATAAAAATATGATTATATACAATAAAAAATTCCATACTTATTTGAATTTTTCTGAAATTTTAAGACATATAGTTCTAATTTAAAAAATCGTTATTGAGTACTTTATGTATACAAAATATCTATGTATCTTGAATTCTGTAATGAGACAGTAGGGTAAGTTGGAGGAAACACTGAAATATATATGAATTATTCTGGGCTGCTTTTAGCTTAATCTTTAAAATTACTTTGTCCAAGATAGTAGATAGTCACAAAAGCCAGAAGCACATAACATTGCCCAAAATGCTGGAGAAAGGCAAGGGGCCAAAGCTATTCTAATTTTAAGTTCATAATGACAAACATCTGTGTCCCACAGGAAATGGGGTTGTTCACAGTAATGATCACTACCATGAAAAGCACTATTTAGATAAGTGCTTGTTATCTTTGGACAAGAGTTTAACATAAGTAAATGCTACAGACTCTTAAATTTTATTCACATACTCCCTTCAAGAAAAAAACATAAGAGGGACACTAATACTGTAATAGATTTGGAGACACTCTTATTTAGACATACATAAGACAAACTGCCCAATGAAGCTCAGCACTGTGGTTCTCTTTAATCAGTTCACCATCCCAAGCTCACTGTTCTCCTTAATGTCCTCATCCTGTCAACCTTCCTTTGTGTATGTGTTGCTTGCTTTCTCTTAAGAACCTGTTATGTGTTCATGATTGAAGAAAACATTATACTGACATCGGAACTATGATGGAAGGAACAAAAGCAACATAGAATTGTGTGTTGTTTCTCCAAAAATAGAGTGATTAACATTTGTATCTTTTTTAAGTTTGGATGCCAAATGCAGGGAAGCAAGAACTAAGCAAACATATAAATTTAGACCATTTTTTTTGGATCCTCATCAAAGTTAAGAGTTACCTCTTGCTTTCGCCTTTGCTCATTTTCCTCCTGCTCAAATTAAAATCAAGAAGCAGTATTTAATCGACATATTTTTATATAAAGAATCAATTAATTTCAATTTTTACTAGGAAAAAAAAAAGTATCTGTTCACCACAAGCTGCTTTAGCTTTGCATTCTCCTGTTTGAGCTGATTCAACTCTAATTCCAACTCCACTGTATATGCCTGCAATTGAAGACGGTCAACAATCTGAATGATGAGAGTCCAAAATGTAACAGTTGAAGGTATTTTATCTCCACAGTGCACTGTAAATGCTGTTTGCAAAGACATTCACAGGCAACCAAAAATATATAGTACATGAATGGTTAGCAAGAGCTATCAAAAGAAAAAAATTTTATATCTGCATGTGAAATATGTATGAACCTGTTTCCTTGCTCGAGATCTTGCTGCTGACTCTCGATTCTTAATCATGCGGCGCTGTCTCCTTTCCACTACCACCTCCGGTGGACCACCTATGATCCTCTTCTTGTTGTGTAGCACAGCAGGCTCTAACAAACTATTAGTACCATTCCCATTTTCGGCACCATTTGAAGATTCCCCCATAATAATTTTAGACCCTGTGAAAATAGGATATGCTGCTGCGTAACCATTTCCTGCTGTTGCCAAGTTGTTGGCGACAATTTGGTGACCTGGGAATAGCCCCATCACATGTCGTCCCATTTCGAAGTTTGCGTCCAAGCTTGCATTGTTGTTTTGAATTGGTGTCACCATTTTTTGTTGAGAAGATCCTATCACATGCCCAATTCCATAGTTTGCATCCAAACTTGTGCCATTGGTCTGGATGACAGGGGTCACCTTCTTTCGTTGGGAAGATCCCGATGGTTCTTGAACAACTCCTGCTTTGATGAGAAAATCCTCCAAAGTCATCTCTCCAAATGTTTGTTGCCGCTGAGGAGGTTCATGATCAGTAATGTTGTTAGCTTTTCGCTGCTGTGGTAGCTCTTTCTGTATCTCAAACCATACCTCATCCACTGTTTTCTTGCAAAGTGGGGTAGGGATGGAAAAAGAGCCTTGTCGTGCTAGAGTTGGTTGACTGCCCATTCCTTTGTCACTGATAGGTTCATTTTGGTTGAGTTGTGATGGAACTTGGTTTTCCTCGACATTCCACAAGTTGGCAAGGAATTCATCCATATTCATGGACCCAAAAGTCTTCCCACTCTTAAGTTGAATTTCATCAAGTGTAAGTGAGAAAATGGAATTCTGTTTGTTTAAGGAAGAAATGGAGTGATCCGGTGTTGATTCCTTATGCGGTGATTGCAGTGCTTGTACCAGTGATCCTGTTTTGATTCCGCCATAGGCTACACTTTCTGATTCAGAAAGTGCCATTATTTACCGCAAACTGGAGACTGCCCTCTCGTGTTGAACAAGATGGTACAGGTAATAGGCTTTATGATTATGCTATGACAAAAACACTCAAACATAAGTTTCAACACACAAAAAAATCCTACAGTTTATGGTAGAAGTTAATTTGTCATCTAGATTAAAATAGTTGACACACTTGAAAAGCTAGTAATTAAGCTGAAGACGAGTAAAGAAACATTAGATTTATCCTTTTATCAAATAATGTTTCAAGGTAGCTTCAGATTATTGTTTTGATGTGTATATTTCCAGGAGTTTTTTTCTTTGTCAAAGGACAAAATGAATTGGCCTTTTACAATGCATACATACCGCTAACATGCCCCGAGGGCCCCGAGGATAGCCTTTAATATTGAAACCAAATGGGCTATGACAAAACATTGGCCCTAAGTCCTTAAATATTCTTCAATTCAACCATCCATTTAAGTGTTGATACTCCTCTCTCTCTCGTGGCTGTGTTTCCATATTCCCTTTTCCTTTATATTTCCAAAATTTGATTGCATTTAAGCCTTTTCTTTGTATTAGACAAGGCATAGCTTAGCGGTAATTAATTACCGTATTTCAATAAAAATATAATTCACCGAGCATTTAACTTAATAATAATTACTTTTTGAAGACGTGGGTTGAAAGCCCTTGTCTCTAAGATGAGATAAATAAATAAAATCCAACATATTGATGTGAAGCTCTAACAGGGTCCAAACCGACATGAAATGTTGAGTTTTTGTCTATCTCCATGCCGGGCTTGCGGCACCTAAATATTACCAAAGGATTTCATGTATCTATTTCGTTGGTTTCTTCTTTTTCTAGTTTTCTGAATAATGTTTGGCCATTGCATGTGCTTGAATTCAGAGATTTTACTTTCCCATAGCTGAGTATAAACTATATTATGAAAACATTTCTAAATATAAAATCAATCTCAAGGAAAGAATGTAGAGCGTGTCAAAATTTTGAACTCGTCAATGCATTTGGATACATAAATAACAAATGTTTAGAAGTAGAACTCCGGGAAAGAATGAGAGCATCAGTTTAAGCTTTGTGCCGTTGGGAAAACCAAACACGGACATGCAAGTGTACGGATCAACTATATATCCAAGAAGAAAAAGAAGAGAAATCCAACAAGAGAAGCTATCAAAGATATGAACTAGTATGGCATGATGAAGAAGAGAAACCACAGAGAGAAATGGGAAAAGAAATGTAAACACCTACCTGAATGTGATGTGCTGGGAGAAGTTTGGGGGAAAGAAAACCAAGTTCTCTTTTTTCATGTGTTGAGAGAACCCAAAAGGAGGGAATCTGTGGAGTGGAGGGGAGGAAGGAGGAAGGGGTCTCCTTGCTTTTGGTTTTGAGTGGGGGGAGAGGCTGAGGGAACTGTAACTGCCATGGCCACCTTAATACATGCAATGGGTGTGGTCCCCACTTTGGGCACATTTTTTGACACGTTTGCGCCACATGCCTCTTGGTTTCTGCCAAAATTCCCTTATAAGGAGTCAAATTCTCAGAGGCCACCCCATCACCCTTTGATTTGAATAAAATACTCTACTTGGTAACAGTTGGAAATGATAGTCAGGGTTAATTAGCACAAGGAATTCCATTTGGGATGTCAAGGTTAATGACCCTCTCTTAGCTTAAATTACTAGTTTGAACTTGGAACACATATAGAATCTTGTCTTCCATCTCTTTCAAACAATATAAGGACAAGTCCAAGATTTGGGATGACCTTCAAACCGATGGGCAGAATGTTAAGATAAGCAGCAGTATGTCCTATATATGTTCCATAATTATTGGTTGATTCGAAACAATTAATCAATTTTCATGTGGTGAAATGCTGCATATGTCTAGCTAAAACTATGGTCATGTTGCAGCTGCAGCATGAGTTTGGATTACTTCCACCTTTGGTTTTGCATGTGTGTCTAAAGATATGCATGTGCAAGTATGAATTCTATTCATAATGTGGTACCAGTTGCTTCTGTTAGGTCACAATCAGCACATTCATAGCATATTTTCGTCTTTCATGGTCTTTGGGGGTGATCATTAAGAAATGTCAAAATGCCAACTCGAACTTTCTGACCTGGTTAAATAAATGCATTGAATGCTTAACAAGGTGCATAGGTGGTTGCTTAATTAGCCTTACACATCAAACACAAGAATGACATATGTATTTTTTGTCACAATTTTCTTCGGACTGTTTTCCCCTTTGACGATTTTCATCTTTTTGAATTTCAGACCAATGGAGCTGGAAACATCTGCTTCAGTGAATGACACAAATAAGTTTCATTGAGCCTGCATTTTGGTTTGTATCAGCTATGCTTCTCTGCCCTTTTGTTTAGGCTTGCTTTAAACGTCTTCCTTGCATTACTGACGGCTTTCCTGTATTTGGTATCAGTCATTTCAGTTCTTCATAGAGTCATGTAAAAGATTTTCCATTTTACAATTTGAGAAAGTGGATTGTATTTGTATCTTGTTGCATTGTTGTGATTGCTTAAATAGTGTTCCTCCAATCCAAGCCATGCTACTGAGGAAGTTCTATTCTACTATATTCTGAAAGCTACTTGGATTACTTTTCTGATTGATTGGCTCTTTCTGCAGTTAATCTATTCTTCAATTTCTAACTCTTGTCACAAGTTGAAGTTGCAAGTCAGTTTTGCCTTCTAGTTCAGAATGCCCAGCAAACTGTTACTCTATTTCCCCGATTGGCTTGCTTCTGTCAAGCCCTGCATCCGTGGTACCTTGTCAAATTTCAGTTATGTAAGATTGCAGCTCTTCTTTATGTGGATTGCCCTTAGACTATTAAAACGTTTGGGGGATCTTACTTCACGTATACATTACTTGTAACAAGCTTTTGTGGTGTAACGCTATAAAATGCGATGTAGAGATGACAAAAAAAGAGAACTAAGCAGAAAGAAGAATTCTCATTCATTGAATAATGAATAATGAATCTGATGTAACACAGGTTTATCATTCTAAAACCCAAACGTGTTTACACAATAAACATTTAAAGAATGAAATAAACCATGAATAATTTAGGGTACAATTTTATCTGCATTTGGTCTATACAGGTGATGTTCCTCTCCAAGCAACAGTGCTCGAAGTATGGCCTCACATAAACCATTGTAATGCACAAGCAAGTGTCCACCATCAGGAACTTCATGATATTGAATCCAGGGCAGGTTTCTTGAAATGCATCGTTGAAGTTCAAATGGAACAATCTTGTCTTCATAACCTTGCCAGATATGAACAGAGGTTTCATTCTGAGGGAATGGGTTACATAGATCCATTGGATCAAAGTCCCAATCACCATAACAGACCAGAAAGTCATTACTGAGAGTATTAAAAACACATCGTTCTCGTAATCTTTCCTGTTGACACAAACATAATTGTCAACATCATTATCATTTGACAGTTATTGCGCAAGTATAGATTTATGTTGAAGAAGAAGAATTGTTTTCAAATTTTGTGTTCGGTAAGAAGCCTTTTCTTTGTCCTTTGTTTGTGCAAACGCAATGTTATCTTTACCTTGGTGAGCATGGGGAATCCTTCTGTTTTCTTCAGTGCTTCTATATCTCTTTTATTGAAGAATACAGGCTTTTTTTCCATGATAGAAGGTGAAGGGAACCATTTATGAGTAACCCACCAGTGTAGCAGCCTAGGGGCATATTTTGCTATCCAATATAACAACCTGACAAGTGTTCTCCTATAATCCTCTCTTGTCAGACTGTTAGGAAAGGAGGCCCATCGATAATTAATGACTGGGACTACCATAGCCACACCTGCTAGCCTGCACAAATGGTTTTGAGGTAAGTAAAATATATAATGACAGGAGTGAAGCAGCAAAACTTTGCATCAGAACATTTGAGTGGTTTGCCTTTCTGGTATATATTTGAGGCAACTCCAGATGGGGTATGATCCCATTGAGACTCCAATCACATAAAACTTTGGTCCTATCTGTAATTGATCAGCAAGTTCTTGAATGTCAAATGCTTCACTTTTAACTGAGCGCCTGGGATCAGGATCACTTTCTCCATAGCCAGCCCGATCATATAGCAGAAAATATATCCCCAACTCTTCTGTTAGTTCCTGGAAACTTAACCAACTTTGATGTTAACTTCATTTAACGTTCACAGATTTAGGCCTACACGTTCTTTCTTCCTTCACTCGAAGGTGTGATAGGATTCTCCTCGTTAAACCATAGAAATTTAGTAAGGGTGATTTTTAAACAATCTAAAGAAATTTTCAAGAAAAGATGACATAACAACTATTGTTGTGATAAATACATGCACTTTTATCAGTCATATAAAGTACTCAATAAATTCTTCTGTATACTGCTGTTAAAAAAAAACTCCAAATCATGTCATATGGGTTTCTAATATGTTTTCCTGGCAATTCCTATGAATTCAAAAACTAGTTTCTGCCCAACTAATGAACTCTAGAAGTTTTACCAATACCCTTTTTGTGTTTCATATCCCATCTATTTCCTATATTCTACTGCCTAATTACCTTAATATCCAAAGTACTGTAAATTTGAGAAGAGAGTTAAATGTTTTGTACTTGGGAAACTTGAAAATTCATTTCTTTGGAGCTTCCAAAGCCATGAACAATAATGATCTTGCAGTTTGATTTGGCCTTGGGCACACCTCTCTCTCTGTAAGCTAGATGTCTTCCATCACTGAGTTTGACTCTTGGTGACTTAACTGGAGGATCCTCTAGTGAACCATCAGTTTCCTGTGGAGCAGGAAGTTGTGTGGCCTGAGAAATTATTCCCAGAAAATCAATCAGCAATATCACCACTTTTTTTGAAGAAAAAAGTAGACCTAGCAAATATACTTCAATTAAATCATCTCAGCAATATACCATAAAGGAAAGATTCAGGTTACTCACCATTCAAATCCCACTAAAAGAAATGTTGTATTTGAGATTCAGGTGACTCCCCAGATCAATGATGTTTGATTTCCTTTCCTTCTCTTTCTCCTTTG